AAAAACTAAAAATTCTTGAAAAATAGCTTCTAAAAATCAAATTTATAAAATAAGAGCTATTTCTTTCTAGCACAGTTTCATAAAAATTCAATGAATCCTTAAAAGGTTAAATTAAAGTATCTTAATATTTTAGAATGCTTTAAATTATAACCCATCATAGTATATTGTATGCAACAGCAATCAACTGTTAGTCCAAAGTCTCTAATTATCTTATGTAAAATTTGTACTTCTTAAAACACGCAACACGAGTTAGCACCCAATATAAATTCTGCGCGTTAGATCTAACGCCAAAGTAAATGCAACAACGTTACAATTATTTGTACTGTATCCTGCAAAATTGTAATATTAAAACTTTTCCACGCGGATCTATCACGAATAACAGTATCAGTATTTTCGACACTTTCGCATGATCGTAGTTAACGTAATCGTCTACGATTACGTAATTTTCGCAATCGCATGTAAATACCGTCCGTGTTATCACGACACAGCACGATAAGACTGTTTACGAAGGAATTGTGTGTCTGTGACGGGAACATGCAATCTCGATATTTCTCGATGAAAAGTGCCCCTCACGTGCTATTATTACATTATCAATTGCGATTCATTGACCCGTATCTCTGGACCAACTTGATTATGTTGTAGAGCTAACTAACCACCGATACAAACTCGATTTCACCAAACCAAAAATATTTCTCGCAACTCTATGCAAATCGATGTTACAAGTTCGCAACAATAATAGAAGGCGCCTAAAATAAATTTGTCGAGATCGATGAGTCCGTTAATTAGCTTTGTTCGATTATACGCAGAATGGTTCACCAGAATAGAATTTCTAATTACTGCCTTCGAGAAGTATGCTGTCTGTAGAAGCGATATCTCTTTTGAGATTAATTGCAACGATCGATATCTATGTGCATTTTTTCTGTCAACGTTTATAAATAACGAACAATTCTCGCAATGAACCTTTTCTGTGTTGATTGCGAGCGATATTGGCAAAGGAATAGCCATAGTACTAATTTTTACAATTTTAATACCCACGTATCCGTGAAAATATTCATAAACCGTTCTCTTGCGTCGGTCAATACATGAAAACGATTCTGTACAGCGAGATGTATTCGCGCAGACGCGAATTGAATTTTTAACTATTGAATTTCGTAAAATTTTCTCAATAAAGTTACATCTGCCAGAAGGAACCAGATGAAGCAAAAATCTGACTTTAAAAACACACTTTATAAATTAACGATACCATCGATCCAATGCAACAGTATTTGAAATGATGTCAATGAATGAGTTTGCAAGAACATCAATTTATTGCATGCAACATAAACAATTTATATTTCTGTTATAAATTTTAATGTAAAGATATTTCTGTTAGATCATACGGGCGGGATATTCAAAGTGCCAAATCTGAAAAAGAAAATTCTACTTATCGTCAGATTTTCTGTTATAGTTGTGTACTGATTTATTGGATTGATAAATAGAGAATGTATAGAAACGTGAAAATTCATATTACATGCTACTAACTCCTACATTTTTTTACTTCAAACTGAACGTAAATTACTAAAATCCGATCTACGTGGTCTCTGAAGATAAAAATGCACGGTTTTAAGAAACTTCCAAAGTCACGTTGCGTAATATGCGTATAAATTCGAAGGTGTTCGGCGGTTTTACGAGAAATTTATGCACCTAACAGATCTTCTAATCCCAGCCACTGAAAAAGTCATGTGCGCAACAACTCTAACTTGTCGGCAGGCGGTCAATAACGCCAGCATAATTCTGCCGCTGCGGTTTAATCGGTAATGGATAAGCGAGCACGCCTGCGCGACTTGTCCACTTTGTCCGACCCGTGGCATTCAAAAGAGGTGACCGTCACAACAGAGCGCACCTGGCGGTGGTACTCGGCATTTAACCTGCAATCCATCTAGCGCGCAATGCAGTTCGTAAAGTGACCTCTTCGAGTCTTTGCGGTATGTGAGATAACGGAGATAATTAGTGAATTGAAAAAGAGAGAGAGAGAAAGAGAGAAAGAGAGAGAGAGAGAACAAGCGTAAAATCCAGTTCGTGCTGAGGATTAATCGAAAGCTGACGTCAGAGTCACGCGTTGGTCGAAAAATGTTAACACGTGATGTTGACTCGGAATGTGTAGTGTCCGATAATCTCGAATCGCGTAATATCGATGTGACGTTCGTACATTCGCGAGAATTAACATTAAAAAAAAAAAAAAAAGAAGAATCAACTTCTCTTTGTTCGATAAAATGAAGCTAGGATAGTAGATAGCATATATATGACCTTTTAAAAAAATAAAGAAATAGCGCGATTATATTAGAAGACTATATTGCAGCTGATGGAGTACGTGAATTTTACTGAATATTTTCTTTATTACTTTTTTTTCTTTTCTTCAATTCTTTACGATTGATTATTTGTATGAAAATGAGCAGATAAATTGTACGATTGAGTTGAAGCTTTAAGACGATTCTGAGGAAACGTAAAGGTTTCAAAATAAACATTAATATTTGAAATATGTATAAAAGAGGATAAAGCAAAATAATTCGATGTGCTACCGGGATAAGACAATAACAATGATTGAAAGTTAATTTTGCATTTAATATATTTCACATGCGTTGCAAACGAATTCACAGTGATTATTATACATGTGTAAATAATTATTTAACACTGTATAGTATTTTTGTAGACAAAATAGAGTTACGAATTTAGTAAAATCAATGAAAAGGATAATCTTTATTAATATGAACTAATTTGTTCTAACAACCAAATTATCAATATCACGATATACGCATTATTAATAATTAATAATAAACGTCGGTTATCGATTTTTTTACTTCATTCTCTTCTTATTGATTCCTGGTACAAGCGGGATTCATAAATGTATGTGAAAGTTATGACTAATTATAAACAGTGAAAGCTGTCCAATCACCATTCACAACTTGTTTCTATATATATGTGTCTAACTTGTTTCTATATATTTCTATAAATTTATAGACAATTATTTGACATATATTTCTAATTCAAAAATCAAAAAGAATTAATATTTGCGAAGATTTAATGATTCGATGACGTGAAAAGATACTAACCCGCTCCGAACAATCTGTTAGTAAAAAAAAAAGTATGAATAAGTCTTGGTTAATATAATATAATAGAAGGCCACTGTGAAATGGCGTCAAAACTGGTAATTCGCCAAAGTTTTATTCGCATTTATGAGACGAAAGAATGTATGACGAAACACCCGGGAAAAAGCTGACATGTATGCATCTGGTTGCAATAGTATGCGTGGACAGTAGATGCATCTCGAGTCGCAGTCACGTGTTCATCGTTGCTAATTTTTCGTCTTACACTATATTATATACGACACTGTTGTCAAAATGATCCTAGGCACGTATGTATGTACACGGTCAGTACGTGTAGCGCTATAGGTTGTTTCAGATTGCATAAGTTCTTGTCAGTATTGGACAATGCCTGTAAACAACCGATCTAATTCTAACCTACGATCTAATCGTTCATCGTTATTGATTATATTCAACGAAACTAAATTAAATCGTCATTGGAAAATAATAAAGATAGCCGTCGAGGAAACAGCGATGAAAAATTAGGCTGACACGTATGATGGTTTATTAAATGGTTTTGTTGTACAATATGTTACTTACGTGCACTTTAAAATGAGAAATATTAAATGATATGCAGCATGTAAATTATGTACATGCATAAATGCAACGAAAATGGGAATTGTATTGATTTCAATTGGTATATGTACATGTGACTCGAGAGTCACTTTTAAATTTCAGTTCTTCTCTGTATAGTGTATCTTACGAAAAGAGAATTTATTACAATAGTGTTGAAAAGATACAAATATTTCCACTGTTATGACAAATACATACATGTATGTTATCGGTTGTAGATTATATTGATAATAGAAAGGAACTTGTACTCTGATAACTAAATATTAAGATCAAATTACTCATAATATATGCATAAAATATTTCCACAAGGTTTTCAGTTGTTGAAGATATTATTATCGTTATCGAACATTATTATAGCCAAGTATGTATACATACATATTCATTAATCACGACTTCCAAGTCGCGTATTAATGAATGACACGAGGAAATTATTATTAAACGAAAGTGACTTTTTTTAATATTCATTTGGGCATAATTTATTTTCGCTAAGAATATTAGTGCTTCTTTTTCTATTTACAAGTTGAAATAAAAATAATTTATTTCAAACGAAATATAATTATTCCAACAAAATTTTATTACTTCGAAATATCAGAAACGTAAACATCAACAAGTTGTGCATAATTTTCATTTATATTCAACATAAATACGAACAACTATCAAGTCATCAATCTCGTTGCTTTTAAAACTTGTAATACAATAACCATAATATGTGTAACTTGAACTTAAACTAAGTATTTACAGTATATTATGGATATACGATGTGAAAACATGTAATTTGCGCAAGTAATGTACAATGGAACATGGAACAATGTCATCAATGTAGGCCCGTACTATTTCAAGATACAAAGCATTTAACTGGGTGTAGACCAAATGTCAGTCAAGGTCGAATCTCATTGCAGGTCAAATGTTTTTCACATCTTCCGACATGAAGCAATCAATAAAAATTCATAAAAACGTGTGGCACTTCTCATTTCAATTTCCAGTAGATTATTCATTCAAAAACACGTACAAATGTAACTTACCTTATATTGATGAGATTAATTCTTGATTTGAAACGCGTGTATACGTGCGTCGTACGATTTGCTGGTTGGAAAGCGACTGAGGTGAGTCTAGGGTATTCGTTGGTTTCAAAGTCTGAACAAGAATGATACTGGCGCAAGCGCACTTCTTACAATCGTGAAGGTTCTCAACTTTGACTCGAAAAACCATTGATATAAACGAAACAACGTAGGTACGTAAATATAGAATTAAGCACCACGGATATTTCAGTAACAAAAATACATTATTGTACGCTTGAAAATAGAATAATCTTTCGTACTTTCTGCAGAAAAATAATACCAGAGATCATTTCTACTTGCGTACGTGAGAAAGTTCATTTTATTGTTTTTAACAATGTTTGGTATATAGAATATTTCGTTATTGCTATTTGTTCAAATATGCATCACACGAAGTACTTAAAATTAGGCTTATACAATAGATGTTCCAAATGAGATTATTCTGACGATCATACTTAACAACGAAATTCTCAGTTGCAAGGTTTTTCTAGTAATTTTAACGAGATCTATTTCTAGTAATTTTAACGAGATCTATCACGAAAATAAATACAAGTACTATAATTAAAATCATTTCACAATAATCCAACGATTAATGTCATCCTATTTATATGTTGTTCATTACATGTGCATATATCGAGCAAAAGCATGTGTAAACATATTTCCTATGAATGTACTACATCACATAATATCTTTGCATGATATTTCTGCATTTATCTTTTGCACGGTTCCATCTTATATCTATCAAGAAAACGAGTTAAAAATAAATATGTCCAAGTCGTAATATAAGTGTACTATATACGACATTGCCGAGCGCACGTGTTGATGATCCGGTTCATAAAACTTAGGGTCTAGAAGGATAAGGGGTACATAATACTATGGTTGGTGGGGATCCATAGAAATGACGTATCGACCACTAACGGAGCAAATTCCCGAACGTTATACGACTCTACTCGCACGTATCGTCGTGAGAGCCTCCGATTGAGCATCTCTGCTTTAGAGGTCAGTCAAGGGCACCTTGCGTGACATTCGTCGAATTTACTGATGAAACTTCTCGTTGTAAAGGTTAACGTACTGTCACACAGTCACTAAAGAAATGCGAGCTGTTTTTCGTCGAAATATCTTTATTATTGCACAATAAAGTTCATTGATAAGATGCGCTAGATATCAACTCTATTCGAATGAACAGACAAGCAATTGGCAATTGGCATTTGCATGACGCAACTGAAGATCTAATATTGAAAAGAATTATGACATTCACTTCTATTATACGTATGCATAATTGCAATTTATCGAGCATTATGCATATGTTAACTGATCGATTGTTTTAACGAGAGCTCTTCTTGGTGCATACGCCGTTTTCAGGATCTAATTCTCCCACTGAAGCTTGCGAACAGAGCCTTGCTCTTTCCAAAAAGACTGCCTGAGCATCTTCCACTTTTTCTGAATTTCCACTCCACGTTTCCATGACTGTGTTCTTTGAAAAGTAGGATTATTGGGAGAAATTTCGTCTTTTATACATTATAAACAAACTATAAGTTTACGAGGAAGTTCTCTATAAATTTATCGAGAATTAGGATATTTGAGAGTACTTGTAAAGCACGGCCATAGCAAAACGTAAGAGGCCAAGGTTTTCTCCCTTCGTAAGCGTTAATAGCGTTTAAATTTACAACGGCATCTTCATCCGATTGTCCGCCACTTAAAAATACAATAGCTGGTACTGCTGGTGGCACTGTCCTCTGAAGAGCTGTTATCGTATTTTCAGCAATAATCTACGCATATTTTTTAATAAAAAAATTTTTTCAATTTGTGATTGATAGTTTACATTGGTAGTTTCATATTAGCAATACGGTAGTAATAACAGTTTCATATTTCATTTTAGTTCGTTTAAGTTATTTTTCATAATCGTTCGATTATTTTTACACTGGACTAGAATGTTGTGAATATGTACGAATTCTATAGAACTACATATTTAATTAATAATCATATTGAACTATATATACCGTAAATTGTTTAGGAACAATATAACAGTAATTAATTTTACATAATTTTACAAAATTCTATGATACTGTTCAATAGATATCGTGTACGTAAAAAATTACTGTACCTGAGGATTGCAATTGACAGAATTTTTAATTCCCGACAAAACCATCGCTACCTTCAGGATCATGCCTTCAAGGTAAACACGATGCTCTTGCAAAGTACGAAATAAAATGGATAGTACTTCTTCGTGAACTTCTAACGCTCTGTTTATGCCATGGTTACCATTACTTAATATCTCTGGTTCTATTATAGGTACCATTCGTGCACTCTGACATATACTGGCATATCTATTAAAAAAAAAGCATTATTTGATTGTTACATAATAAAATTTCAAAATTTACGAATTTATCAGTAAAATTTATCGTATTGATAGATTTGGATGTGCAAAAAACTGTTTGCGAAGTTAATAATAATTTATTTACGAAAGTAAAAGATGTGCTCAGTTAAACGTTAGCTGGTAATATATGTTGAATCATTTAAAAATTTGCAATATATATTATAACATATATATTTTTTTTTTTAATGATATCCATACCCATTTTAATGATTACCACAAGTATCGAACAGCTTAAAGAGTGCAGGAATAGAAATTCTTTCTCAATGCAATTTTTGTTTGAAAATTGAATACATTACAAAATAAATACATGAAAAAACACGTAAATTCTACTCGATTTAATTTCTGATTCAACTTATCTCTCAATTTTAAATGTACAGTTTGCATCTTTTGCAACTCGATTAGTTTTAATTTAAATACAAAATAAAAATACTCAATTTATGTCCTAGATCATCAATCATTCTCATTAAGTTTCTACAAACCTGGCATAATTTGCATCCTAGTAATTAATCCATTCGATTACAATAAAATGGTAATATGGGAACTATAGTGTTCGTCAAAATCAAACCTTGCAAGGACGTTCGCATTCGTAACCATGGCCAGTTGACTCGGCGTTGTCTCCGAGATTGTGAACGTGCATCTCCATTTGGTAAAGTGACAACCATCTCGTTTATACTGAATGCATCTCTCTTGCAAATTGTCCAGGCCTTCCGTAGTATTCTCGTTCTTCGAACCAAATAATGGGACAAGCCCCTTATCGACCTTAATGCCGGGTACGACATCTCTCTCACGTAGCAATTCGATCAATTCGACGTTATCTGTCGTTTTTTGATACACTGTCTCGTGATGTAGAATAACACCGCTTATGTATTTTGAAAATTGAGACTACGACGAAAAAGTGCAAATATATTAATCAGATCTTCATTGCAATACAACATCGTCAAGTACATGGTTCAGGGAAAGGTGTCATTCGAGTCATCGAAAATTCTCAAGAGATTAAACATAATCTTTCGAAAGATATTCGAATTTCTTTTTATTTTCAATAACAACTATCACGCTATTATATTTATACTTTAGACAAACTAGTAAATGCTGCAGATTACATATAATATAATGACCTTATCAGCACTGAATAACATTTGTCGATAATCGCGGCGATTAGTTTCGGTATTTTTCACGCCCAGATCATCGAATCGCTTTTGCAAAGACGAAGGAGACTCGTCAGAAGCTAATAGTCCTTTTCCTCGTACTATAAGCGCATCCACGATTTTTTGCAATTCTTGGCAAAGCGCTGGTTCTAGCTCCGTATATTTGGTAACAGGCGATGATATCTAATTGATAAATATTCTTTGCACATAAAATATTCGATGAAAAGTTGGAAAATAGTCGTTCAAAAAAATTGTTATTTGAAGTTGGAAAGAATTATATTTTATTCATATTCTTCAAGCTACAATTATACTATGAGTAGAGGATATTTTTGAAATGATATCTCTTATATTTTTTTACTATATTTGTCGAACAAATAAATTTTTTGATACATTAAAGAACGGAATATTACAATTAAAATAATTTCGTAACATTGCAAGAGAAAGAGTGAAATTTTTTAGTTTTTTCAAGACTGTGAGCAAAATTGGAAAGGTCAGCAACCGTGTTGGCACTTGAACGAGTTATATTTAATTTTGTACAACAATCGCTAAACATTCTGATTCTATAAATTCGTAATGAACGACGAGAAATATTTATTTAATACGGTTTTATATTTTCTAAGGTTAATAATAATTATCAGATATTGATACAAGGGTAACAAAGTCCGAAGATGATATTAAATATTATGCCGCAATCGCAATTACGCTTGTAGATTTCTTTTTAAGTTTAGATAATCTAATACTGGTAAACATTTTTTAAGCATGTAAGTAACAAGTTAATCATTTTATGTTTACATATAGATAAATTATTGTATATGTTTACATGTACAGAGAGAAGTATTATAAAGACGAGATTCTTCGTGGTAATTGTATATTATGAATTAGATCTAGGACATTTTTAATGAAATTTTTATTTTGTATATATTTTTTTATTGTTGGTAATATTCTATAACAATTTAAAAAGATAGTGGCTAAATATCGATGACATAATACAGGTTAATGACTTACTTTATCTTTGCAATAACATTTATCTCCTAATCGCTTCATTATTTAAAACGTGCAAATAATACCAGGAAATTTAGAAAGTTAATGAAAGTTAGATATATATATTTCTATTTTAACGTTGAAATCATATTGACAGAAAATTTAATAAAATTTTAACATTGTAATAAAAATTTTATATTTAATTGTAAAATGATAAAAACAACTGAATATATTATCTGTATGAGAGAGTAACAAAATTTTTTGTAAAATTTAAAATGCGGCAACAGAGAAATTAAAATTTCTTTTTTTAAGAATTATTTCATGATAAGAAGCAGCAAAAATGTTTAGAAAATTAATTATTAAGTAAAAAATTAAAATATATCATTTATGTAATGTTTATGAACGAAACACGTTTTCTGATTAATCATTGCCAATAGTTGGAAATGTAGAAACAAAAAACCCTACATACTTCACATTACTGCATCATGAAAAATTGCCTTAAGTTTGAACAAATTTTTGAAATAGAAATCGATGAGGTAGACTTTTGTAATTTGTTAGACCGAGGTTAGTTACGTGCTAGTAGGATGTATCAAACTATTGATAGTGTACATGCATTTAAAAATTATTTTATGGCATTTTTTTGTTAACGTATCCGTTTATATGTGGCTCGTATCTGTCACTTCGTACGTGAATATTTTATAGTAAAAAAAACTTTACTATTATGTAGGAGGTTAATCGCCGATACGATTAAACGACAAATAAATGTTGAAAGACATAATATTTAAATTTAACGCAAGTTCTATTGATTTAGAAAATTAATAATACATTACGATGAGTAATAAAGAAAAAAGTGATTTACGATCAGAACAATGTGTTAAATTGAAAGACGAGAAGGAAAGAAAGAAATCAATGTCCTCCCAAAGTGATGATTCTGATTCTAAGAAAAAAAGACGTAACACGTGTAGCAAAGATAAAAGGAAAAAATCAAAGCATAGGAGTAGTTCTAGTAGCTCCAGCTCCTCTAGTATTTCCAGTCGTGAAGCTAGTAAATATCAAGATGATAGGGACAGAAGAAGCGACAAATGGGATAAGAGATATGAGAATGGTATTAGACCATATCGACTGAATCCAAGGGAAGGTAGAGGATATTATAAAGGACGGGGTGGGTATTTGGATAATCGTAAACGTAGTTTTGGATATCGACCTTATAAACATTCTGGATTTTATGATAGAAATAGACATAATAATTCACAATATAATAGATATAATAATGAAAGGAGAGGTAATAGATTCTTAAATCATAACAGTAGAAGACCACCTTACGATAGATCTAGAAGCAGAAGCACTCTAGATCAGGATCATCAAAAAAACTTAAAAGATTCTAGTGAACACTCTAGAGAAAGTGATTCCAAAGAAAGATATGCAAAACAAATTAATGCTGATAAAGCAGAAACAAAAAGAAAAGATACAGATGATGCTTATGTAAAAGGAAAAGAAAAGAAAAGAGACGAAGACATACATGAAAAGGCTGATCATATTGTCCGCAAAAGGTCAAAGAGGAAAAGGTCTTTGTCATCTTCAAGTTCCTCAAGCGTTAGTAGTAGTAGTGACAGTACTAGCAGTAGCTCTAGTACTAGTAGTAGCAGTAGTAGTTGTAGCAGCAGCAGTTCAGATACTTCTGAAGATGAGAAAAAACGTAAGAAAGCGAGAAGAAAAGCTAAAAAGTTGAAAAAGGCTATGAAAAAGCGTAGAAAGAAGAAAAGAATGAAGAAAAAATTGAAGAAAAAATTGAAAAAGTCAAAAAAGAAATCACGAAACACTGATAAATCTAAAGAGAGTGTTTCTAAAGATGTTTCACAAGAAAGTGTATCTGAAAAGTCAAAGGCAATGGCACCCATGACTAAAGAGGAATGGGAAAAAAAGCAAAGTGTAATACGTAAAGTTTATGATGAAGAAACCGGAAGATACAGGTACTTTTTATTTTAAAAAAATGAAGTTATATTGCTGACAATTTGTATACAAATATATATTTGATTTAATTTTTTCATAGGTTAATTAAAGGTGATGGAGAAGTTTTAGAAGAACTAGTAAGTAGAGAACGTCATAAAGAGATAAATAAGCAAGCGACTAAAGGGGATGGAGAATACTTTCAAGCACGCATGAAAGCCAATGTTTTATGAACTATTTTTCTATATATACTAAAAAAAAAAAAATACCCTTATAATAATTACTTTATTGTCAGTGTTAAAGTCCTGTACAACAATATGTTTTATAATATCTCAGAATACTTATATGTTGTACATCAATGAAACTTCTCTACAGTGTGATTTTAATTATTACATGGACACAACGTTTGATCTAGAATGTTTATGACCAAATGTTAAAATATAATCAACAACGAACATAATTTAGATTCTAAGCCAATTTTATATAGTTATATTTTTTTCATACTATGACTATTTATGTTCATTGTCATGTATGATAATAAAAAAAATTACACCTTTGAATACATTATAAAAACACTAAACATCATGTAATAATACGTATAAAAAAACTTTGTAATTATTCATTATTTCGATAAACCAATTACATTATTTTCGTAAATAAACAATTAATTAACAATTGACAAATTACTTTCAAAATATAAATTTTATTATTGTGTTTCATATATACAAGCTATGTTATACATTTCTTAAACTTTAGTCTTTTTCTGACTTCTCAGTATATCGGTATATAACAATTTTATTACAAATATCAAGGTAGAGTGATTCATATGAAGATAACATTGTTGTAGAACATTTAAAAAAAGTTTCATTTTATGTAAATCAAATGCTTAATAGATATTTTTATGAATACAATTAACAGTGAAAAAATACAATGATATATATTATACATAAAAGTTAATATAACTGAACAAGAAGACTTGTATGGCCATCTCTATAAAGAAGGTCATCGGCAATTATTGCCCGACATAATGGGCATGAATATTCTCGATTCAACCATGTTAAAACACATGTTTCGCAAAAAATATGCTTACATTGCAATCTCACCGGCATTGAATATTGATCGTGACAAATTGCGCAAATTCCACCCGATGTTACTAATTGTTCTTTCGTTGGTGATATTCCTAAATTCTGTAAAACAATGAATAATTAATTTCATTTTATGAAATTTATATTCTTTCATTTATTAAAAATTACGGAACGTACCACATTTTGAAACAGTTTCCAAATAGCAGTTTTAAATAATTTCATACGAGATAATAAATCAGTTCCTTTGCTTACTGTATACAACAAAGAAAGGAATACTCCAAAAATTTTTTCTGAACCTTGATAACATTCAAAGAGATAATAAAACCATGGTTGAATAGGCACGATACATCGATAAAGTTGAGATGCTGTTTCCACCATAACAAAACATTTTCCCTGGAAGAAAATTGCCATTTGATATTCTAATTGACTAATATTACTAAATAGCTGCAATAGAACTTACCCTCTTTCGAAGTGGTAAAAGCTTTGAAGGTAAACATGTTAAAAAAACTTTAAAAATAATAGTAATCAATTTCAAAACAAAATCTGTTATTAAAACTGTCCACAATAGTTCCCAAATGGTAAGAGATTGTGAATATGGAGAAAATATACGTATATTATATTCAAAATGAATAAAAATTATACATCCAATAATATAACACATAATAACTAAGAGTGATAGCCAATTTTTATTGTTTTGTTTTGCAATTTCACGTTTTACAACGTTATTACTATAATTAAATGTAACAATTAATACTATAAAGTTTAATATATTGGTCCTGTGATCATACAGGCCTTTGGCAAGAAGAATACAAACAAGAGTAATATATCTTTTAAGTCCTTTAAAGAATGCACGTGTCCGTGGACTAATTTGTACAGTTTGTGCTGAATTTTCTTCTATATCATTGTTATTGTTGTTATTATGATTAATAACATTATTACTATTATTATTTTGGCTTTCACCCACAACCTCATTTGCAGCGTCACGAATATTATTTAAAAAATTATCTGCTGTAGTCGTTTGATGATGAGGATTGTCATGAACTAAAACATCATGTAAATTTGTATCATTTGTTGACTGATTTTCAACATCAATAATATAATTATCAGATGAAAGAGGTACGGCCTCTATAGGAATCTGGATTCTTTGAATATTTAACAATGAATTTAATGAAATGCCTGGTTGCTGCAAGTACAAATAAAACTATTATTAAGTTTATATAAAAATCTATAAAATATTGAAAATTTATAATACATACACGTTCTATAAAAGGCCTAATTTCTTCTATAGTAGAAGATATATTATTTGAAAATATTCTAGAGTGTTCCATGGTTTTAGCTCTGAAATTTAAATCTCTTATGCTAATAAATGATGTAGATTGACATGGATAGAAAAATTATTATCAATATGTACCGCATGAAAAAAATGTACATACGGTACAAAATTTTTTCAGTACACTTTCAGTAGAAAGCAATTAACGTCAAGATAAATTATCAGTATACATTATCATATATATATAACTATGTGATATATATGTATATATATAACTATGTGATTTGTATTGACACATTTGATAAAATACAGAGTGAATGAAATGGCATTTTCGCTACTACAAATCTAATATTAGGACATATAACCACAAAAAAAAATTGACATACTAGAGATTTGTATTGAATTCATTTAGTAGCTGAATATTTAGTTTAAGATTTATTATAAAATATTAACTTTTATACTCTTTATAATACTATATTTCCATAGAAAATTACAAAAATTTGATTCATAATTTTTAATGTATAAACGTATCAAATTGCGCCATTTTCTTTAAGATTAGTCTTCGATATATATATATCAACAGAATTACAAGCGCCAAGTTTAAAATTAAATTATTAATCAATTCGTCCAATAAATACTTTGTACGTAATGATTTTGTTTAATTCTAATATTTCCTGCTTTTTATTACATGCCATAAATTAAAATAAAATTTAGTTTCTAGTCATTCAATGAGTGAAAAAATATTGTAGATTTGAAGTTTAGAGAAATTTAACAAAAATTAACATACATTATGTATAATAATTTATGTATATATATATATATATATATATATTTATATATATATATATACATTAAATTTAATACTGTATATGACTAGATACTATATATATAGTTAATTTAACATAAAACTTAAGAAATTTCATTTTTGAATACTTTTTGTATGTTTTCCTCCAGTTCTTTGAATAGAATTTAAATAAGTATAAGTGCATTTGGATGTTGGTTGTTCAATCGAAGCATTAACAGCTCTTGCCCAAATGATTGATGCAACTGCACCCAACGCTCGTGACATACACAGTAATACTTGATTGAATTTCATATCTCTCAGACCATAGAACTTATATAATTAAAATGATATAATGTATAATAAGTAACAAATAGGCAAAAATTAAAATAACAAATTTCTACCATACTTGAAAAATAGGTGCAACAATTGCAGTTTGTTCGGGATGAATTTTCTTTCCTTTTGTAGATTTCATCATTGTAGTAAGAATGTTAGTAATGGTTTGTGACAACTAAAAGGAAAAAAATAAGTAATATGTTTAATTAAAAAATTTGTAATGTGTACCTGCACACCAAAATCATTTGGCAAATATTCCCTTGCATAATTTTCCAATGCGATATATTTTGGATCACAAAACTCTGCTTCTTTATAACCAGTTAATTTATCTCTTCGAATTAAAGTGGCTATGTAATTCCTTAATTTTTCTTCCTTTAATTCTTGGCCAAAAATACGCTGTATTCCCCTTTGGAATTCCATATACTATTTCATTAACGAAAAAATTATTTACGAACAATTATGCGTATAATAATTTCTTGGAATTCAATTATTTGAAATCGAAAAATGTTCTGTTTACTTCTGAAATAGTGCCATTTTTAGGTTCATCAACGTATGCTAAAGCTCCTGCTGCAAGAGCTTGGTTCACATACGATTGAGATGCTCCGAGTATTTCTGTAATATGAACGCCAGGTACTCCACCGTTTTCATCTCTATAATAATATTTTATAAACTCTATATATGTGAAAGAACATATATAACTGTATATTTTTGAAGAGTCATAAAAATAATAGGAATTTTTATGCAACAAAAATATTTTGTAATATAAATTTTATAAAAGAAAAAATGCGTATACTTTCATATTTTCAAAAAATCTCGTGGAACAGTTATATGAGGGTATGTAATATACAAAAATATTTTGTAATATAAATTTTATAAAAGAAAGAATGCGTATACTCTCATATTTTCAAAAAATCTCGTGGAACAGTTATATGAGGGTATGTAATATACTTACGCATTCAGAACAATGTATAATCGGAGAAAATCCATCAACGCCTTTTTATTATTTTTCGAAATGTCAAATGCGTTACATAGACATTCTGATAAAAATTGTACCCAATCGCCTTTCTCTTCTTTCAAGTTTTTCAATTCACCTTTAGCAATTAAACCAACTATTGCCGGTAGCGTTGCTAGTAGTTCCATACTATCCTCATACATGTACTTAAAATATAAATGATAAATTTCATATAACAAATTTTTCAAATTTTTAATTACGTATTTTAATTTAATTTTATTACTGGAATCTTCTGCATTTTTGTTTTTTCTTAATTTTAAAGCAAATCTCATTTGATTTTAAATTGAAAAAAAATATAACACAAGAGCAATTCATTAATAATTCCTACTACAAAAGTGTAAAGTGTAAAGCTTAGTAAAATGCAGTACTGAATAAGTACCAATTTTCTAATTTGAATTTATTATAAAAACATCCTCAGTTAAGTATTAAAACTCACTTCCCAATGAGTATAATTTAAGGCGTTATTTTTTAAAGCTTCAGTTATGTGTTTGCCAGAATCAAACACTGTAAGTGCTACCGACAGTTTCCCAAGAGGCGACGTTGTTTTCGGTAAAGTTTGAAGAATGGAACCCACGATTCCACCACCTGGTCCCGACCACCAATCTTTTCTTTTTTCACGTCGTATTGACCAGTCAGCGATTAGGGATGCTGTTTGTTCTTTTGTTGGAATATCCCCGGTTAAAAGTAGCCAAAAAACAGCTTCTGCGCTTGGTGACTTTCCTTCTCGAGGTAGCAGCGTAATAACTTCCGGTATCGTTAGTCCTCTATATTTAATCTACACAGAAATGAAAATTTTTTAATTTCATTTAAGAAGAAATATGTTATGTCAAAATAATAATATTCACCCCGTATTTCGGATCAATTTCAGAGGTTTCTCTGACCATAGTGTTCACTCCTCTCAGTCCTTGATAAATATTTTCTACGGTGATACGACTGATCACTGAGGATCCATGCTGTTGACGGATATTTCTCACAAGATCATAATGTACCGGAATTTTTTCGCACAAAGCCTCCTTCAAGTTTATGCTTGTACTCGGTGTCCCTCTCGTTGTACTCACCTTAACATTTAATTCATTTTTTCATATCCTTGCAAAGTATAATACTCACAATAACAACAGAAAATATACACTGAAATATTGATTACATCACTGAAACATATTTATACATATTTATACTATACACGACAAATTAAACAAAGACAAATTATTGATTTGGAAAGGAATGTTTTTCTCACGAGAATTTCAAGATAATTCATTATCAGTAAAGGTAGATATTTTTATATAATCGAAAGTACAAAAAGTATTGTATTTTTCTTTTATTTATAGTCCTTTAAATTATTAATGCTGTATATAGCATCAAAAATTTGGAAAAGCAAATTGGCTGCGAGTAACCTCGTACATCGGTAAATCGATTCCAACCGTCAATACGTGTCGTTGTCCGTGAAAATCAATGTCGCTGTAATTCTTCATGTTCTTTAGAATCACTAATCTCACACTCGGCAATCGCAATCCTTTCGATATTTGGAACATTTTACTGAGATGCGTCCTCTACGATGGTCCTCAAACGTGAATCATTTTGGTGATGAGAGATTGTCAGAACGATAAAAGAAAACTAATATATCACATTATTCGTCTACTATACTTTTTTCGATTTTCACTTTCATATCAATTTATTTGTGTAAAATAAAATATGTGAAATTTAATCATTGTTTCGTTCCGAATTAAGAGATGGAATTACTTTTGTTGCAACATTTAAGCGGTATGCTTTTTTGTTTTCCTCAGTAACGCACTGAAACTTTCAGTGAAACATTAAACGTTAAAAGTACTTACAATTAATAACTAATAATAAATAAAGAGTAATAGTTTTTAACAATAATGGAGCATTTATCATTTTCCATATTCTATTTTTCCAATATTGTAGTAATATTTGATCTCGATCTAACTTCTTATAATCTAATTAAATATAAATCGGGAAATGAATTAAAAGATCCATCGAACTTATTCGGTTTCTTTCTTTTTTTATTGCATTACTCCTGCATACAAAATAATGCGTGATATTTTGTATGTAAAACAACGCTTGCTCGACACACTCTCGATGGCTGTACAAATTCACGTCGAAATTTCTGTACCTTGTCTAGTCGTAAGATTCGCTATTTCGGTACAAAGATTCTTTTTTTTTTTTTTCCAACGAACACATGTTTGTATGTAATGTACAGTTTGTATGTTGCTCTATTTGATATATTCAACACTTTACGTATATTCATTCTGCGTGATCTACACGTGTGCTGGACAACAAATTAATCGTGGAAATTAAATAACAATCGATTGTTAGCGTTAACGTTATCCTGGCAATTAACAGAAATTATTCATTAACGATCGTTCAACGACCGTTCGAACTTTGTTGATCGGAATCGCTTTCCTTACAAGTTGTTTAATCATTGAGCCAATACTATGTTTTACGTTAAAATACGTACAAACGACAACAATGGTTAACACACACTTTTTTTTTTTAGAGATCTGCATATGTGTAGGTGTACGGTATTTCACAATATCAACAGCTACACTTACCGGCTAGTGATTAATTCCTTACCAGTATAGTAAAATATATATATGTATATTGTATATACACTATTGCTTGATCTGAGGTAACTCTCAATAACACACTATTATTACATTTATTTGTTCGCTATTATCATCGTCGTTATTATTATTATATATTATTACTGTCGTTATTGTTAATATTAATATTAATATTAATATTAATATTATTATTATTATTATTATTATTAGGCCGAATGCATTATTGAAAAGTGAACAAAAAGAATCATTTCGTCGAACTCCAAGTTCAGTGTAGTAATAAAGCAATAAACGATAAAACATATCACAGATAAAGCAACGTTAAAAATAGAGTGAACTTTGTTGCGTTTTGGAGATGTAGAGGTTTCTTATTTTTCCATCGAAATATGAGTTCAATGGTGTATGGAGAACGATCAATTTTGATCTATATAAACAAATTTGTCTCTCGCATTCTGAACAAAAAGTTTCTTAAACTAAAGCTATTACAATAGTAATATTTCGATCATACGACTGTATTTTTTAAACGATTTCAAATCCCTTAGGTAGAAATTTCAAAATGCGAGATAAACTCATTAATATCGATTACATTGTGACGCAGAATAATATAAGAAATGCACGATATATTTACAAAGCGAATTACAAAATAAATTAAATTGGTGGAAATTAAATTGTACGTAGAGGGATTCGGCAGTAAGTTACGTATGTACTATACGTATTCGCAATGTTTCCGTCGCTCTCGACGCGAAAGAGCAGTTGTACAACATGATTGCATTATTTTTCAGTGTTAAAGTTACACAGTGAGCAGTTTCGGTGGGAACAGTATTCACAGACGAGACCCGAAGATTCTTCGATTCGTATATATTTCCTTCAACACTAATTTCTTACTCTTTTAATACTGGTAATTCGTGAGCTACGAGAGATCTTTCACGAAAAGTGATCAAACGATCGTTACAACGTTGAAATTGATAAAAAGAAATAAGAATGAAATTATTCGTTACTTTTAGTTTGTACTTATAGGATTAAATTTACAAAAACGACAAGAAAACAATATATTAAACGTAGAATCTTCGTCGTTTATGTGCAATAAGTGGCCGTGTATTTCATGAAAAATCTCGAACAATCACAATCACTGCGCTCTGCATTGTCGATTAGTGAACCAAAACAGCTTGTGGACTTCTGTTTCGGATTACAATTTGCTTAAAGAAATGCCGAGAATAATTGATTTGATTCTCGATGAAGTTGAACTTTCGCATTAAGGATCTTTTCTTTGAACGTTTGCTTTTCGTCTTCAGCTCAGATAAACTACGACCCTGTGTCATGGTATGGGTAAAAGCAACTTTCTTTGATGATGTGGTCGCAGAAGTCGAGCACGTTGATTTTCTGGCTTCAATGTCAGAGAAGAATACATTTTTCGCTGGTATCATGCGGGTGAGATCGTAGGGGTTGCGAGGGTGCTGGAGTAGGTGAAGGTGGTCTACCTTCTACAGCTTGGATACTTTTCATCAATTCGCGGAATACCTGTTAGACAGATAAAACATACATTTTATTTCACGAAAATATTTTTTTCTATTTAAAACATACTTTTTTATTTGTTTCGTTTCCTTTTATATATATCTTAAAAACGTAGTTCTATATTCGCTTTCACAACATTCGTAGAGCCAGATATTCAACAAATAAAAACAAATTTGATAATAAATGCAATATCTGAAATGCAGTAAAATGTAACATAATATTAAAACAAATTTTTTTTAACATTGACCTCAAACATTAATTTTTAACATTAATCTTAAAAAATTCTTCTAGAAATTTTTTAATTAATTATATAAAGGACATTTGTAGCTGGTTTTGAATCGTATAATCGTAATTTTTCTAATAAATTATAATAATGTTAGGCAATTCTAATAATTCACAATACTGTATGTATATCCCAATCATAAGAATTATAAATTAAATTATTATTTACAAGGATGAATAATTATTAATTGATTGCTGCATTTAAATTACAATAATTTCCTTATTAGTACAATATTTATTTAATAAATGAAATTTTGTATTTTAAAACGAATTTTTGAATGCAAATAAGTTGTATACCTACAATCAATAAATGACTCTAGGAAATAGTTTCACATTGACCTTATAGATGGCGAGAATTATTCAAAATGGTGGTATACGTGTGATTTTGTACATTTGATATTTGGTTTGATATTTAACAAAGTGTTTATAATAAAAAGACGTATTTTTGATTAATTAAATAATTTTACTCTATCATGTCTGTAATTCGTAGGTAAGCTTTTTTTTTTTTAGATACAATTAATTTTAATTTAACTTTCAAAATATGATTTACTAGAATTTCTTTAAAGTATAACTATTTATAACAACTTAAATAATAAAAAATAATAACCAAATAATAAAAGTATAACTTATATAATAGAATAAATTTATTTAACTGCATATATTTATATTATATTTGTGTTCTGAGATAAAATGCATATATAAGATGCAATAAATAAACTATATTAATAGAAAATATATTATAAGGAAGAAAAGAAACAAATAGAGATGTCCTGTTTCAGAAAAAGGAATTATAGACCAATTATTTCATCGACAGAGGAATCTAGCAATGAGATAATTTTTGGTACATATGATAAAAATAGTTCTTTAAGAGAAAATTCAACTAATGTCAATTCTGTGTTGCAAAATTGTAGTAGTAAAAAATATATGGATACGTATAAAAGTAATATAAAAAGGAAGGATAATACTGATAATCAAAAAAGATGTATATATTTAACAAGTGACAGTGATTTAGATAATTCTGATAATGATAACAGAGCTACAAAAAAAAAAATAAAACTCACTCAAAATAAAAAGCAGACTATTATAGATTATGATTCAGTTGATACTTCTTCCAATTCATCTATATCTGGAATCCAAAATAAAACAACGTATCTAAGAACAAATAATGGTAATAAGAAAAGATGCAATATTGTTGAAGAAATAAGGTTTGTTAGAAAAGATAATGTTTCTGATAGACAAAATTACCATAACTCACATTTAACTGGAACTAATACTTCTGTATTACAAAATAGACAAGAGAAACAGAGTGTTGAAAATTTTAAACCTCGTATTGAAAATGTGATAGAAGGTTTAAAATATAAGTTTTCAAAGTATAAATTTCATATAAGACAAATACAGTCGAAATATATTACAGGAAATATAGTAACATTGCAGAATGCTGAAGATATTGTATTCATTTTCAGTAGTATTATCAGCAAATTAAAGGAAGAATTAACTGAACAACAAAAAATTTTAGAAAACTCTTATCTTAAGTGGGCCATGAAATCTAATTTAAATGAACAAAGTAGCTGTAGTATTAATAATGAAGATATGGAGATAGAAAGTGAAATTAGTTTTAATGATGATGATATGGAAATGATGGAAGTAAGTTTGCAAAACAATAATGAAATATTTTCAGAAAATACTCATAGAAAACAATCATCAGACATAACTAAAAGGTTAGAAAAAAATGTTTGGGAAAGTAATAAAAACACTAAATTTTGGCAGAATATTAGAAGTAATAACAATAGAGATAATGAAATATCGTTGAAAACAAAGGATAGCATTGTGGAAACAAATCAGACTTTAATTACTCAAGCTGATAACAGGAATAGTTTACAAAGCAAGAAAAACATATTATCTGTTTTAAGTGATTTAAAAGAAATTAACATTGTAAAAGTACCAAAAACAAATTCTACAGTGAATAAAAAAAATACACGTACTATATCAAAAAGAGAATCATTGAGTCAAAATGTTACAAATACATTGAAACAACCAGTTAATAGTAAACAAAATAAATCAATGAAAAAAGAAATAATAGATAACAATAGTGATATATGTAGTACATGTAGCACAGTGGCTTTGTATAGTCCACAACACAAGCATATTCTATTATCTAACGTTGACAAACAGACAAATAAGTTAGTAAATATAAATGAAGATGTGAATTCAGATGATTCCGAAAGTTTCATTTTGGAACCTGCCACGTTAGATAACAAAATTCTTGCAAAATCAAATTCACAAGAAACTGTTATCATTCCATCTAATGAAAACAACAATTTTAACATACAACATAGAAAAACTAAAAATAACCGTAATTCTAAAATAATATCAAAGGTACCTGTTGCTCTTTCAAATAATAATGATTCAGTTCTCCAGAAACAATTAAACTCTGTTTCATATACAAATAAAAGTTTAAATAAAAAATACCAGGCCAGTGCTACTCGTAGCACTTATAAAGACATTGATTCCAACAAAGAATTAATAAATCAGGAAGATCTTGGAAAGAATATTGTAGACAAAAAACTAGGATTAATTTGCCAAGTTGTAATAAATAAGTACAAACAGTAATTAAGTTAGTATTGATAATTGAGTTAGTAATACTGATATTGAGATTTTTTTTCTGTTTGTAATTGTTTCTATCTCTAATTCTCAGTTAGCATTGTTGTAACATAATTGCAATGATAGTTTGTATTAAGAAATACATATGTTAATTTGTGTATTCTATAGTTTATACAGCCTTAACTGTAGTTATATAAAAAGATGATTAACTTGAAGTACGAATTTAGTTTAATTGTATTATTAATATGATAATAATAAACAAACATTTTTATAAACGGACGAATTTTAATAATAAGATCTATATAATAAATTTATACTTTTGTGCTAATTATAAGTAGTTTCATAAAAAAATGTCATCTATTGATTACCTAAATTAGTCAGTTTTTTTTTACGAGTTTTATTATAATAAAATTTTTTTGAAATTTTTATGTAGCTAATAGTCGTAATGGTATAGCATCGTCTTTATATTCAATATAAAATTTTATTGGAAAAAGTTTAGGGACGTAGAGGTTGGTTTAACGGCTTTATTCTTTTCTGTACTAAGTATATATCAAACTGATTTTTCAAATATTTTCAAATCTCAATTGATCGCTAACAATGCAAATTTCTCGATAATTCTGTGATTCTTCAAAAAATAAAGTAATTTCGTTGGTTAATCTAAATAACCACTATCATATTATTTATAAATAAATGTAAAGTTTTATTTAAGCCTCGAAATTTCCTTTATTTGCGAATAAAGCCCTTACAAAATACTCTTTGTTCGTCGTTATATCAAACAACTTTTTTAAAACTGTTTCTTTTGAATATCTTTAACTTTTTATGAAATATTCTAACAAGTATAGTAAAAAACCTCTTGTGTGTGTGTGTGTGTGTATCGTTGAGTATTTATCAAAGGACGGGCAATATAAGCGCTTTCATGAGACATTAAAATTATTTATAAAGCTATTAAAATTTTATTATTATTGTTATCATAGGTATACGAAGACAAGTTGCCAATTTTGCCCAGATTATTTCGATATGATATCTTAAGATCTTAAAGTCATTTGAACTTTAAGTTACCTGAACACTAATCGAGAATTTGCCTAGAGGAGCATTTTCCCTCACTCGCATAACTGGTGGTTAGACTTCTAAATTGTTTCGTAAAATTATGTTACTATAATATATATAGTACAGCAGTGCAATACAAATTTTTACAATTACATTTAACTTTTGATTTACACGTTGAATTTTATATGTCTGAAATGTTTTCATTTATTTTAGTACAATACATTGAGTTTGTCATTTAATTTTACACAACACTTGCTCATTTTATTGTTTATTTTAAACAAAATAATTATTAGAACATTGATACAACATCTTTGGAACAACAGAACTCATATACAAAAAAGATCAAACTTTATATCTATGCAGAGTAATAATTCGAAACAAATTTCGTAAATTTGTACAAATTAATCAAGAGTTTAATAGTTTAAGCGACACGTAAAATCTTTGGCGTATAATTCGTCGTTATAAAAATTAAATACCATACTATCTGGTACAACTGTACCTTATAATACCAGAATTTTATTTCACAATATAAATCATGTCTAGTTGTTAATCACATCTTAACAAGTCTCCGGTGATTTATGGATGCAAACGTACATGTGTAGATATTTGCTTTTTGCCAAATTTGTAACGTGAAAAAAATTTCACGAATATGATAGTTCATTAACAATTGAAATACCTGATAATCTGATAATCGGTGACCATGGGCGTTAGTGGTAAATTGTTGATCACGGGTAACCACCATAACAGCTAACCTGTTAATAATAGATTTTCATGTTATACGTACCTGTACAACGCGGCAGTTAAATCTGGCGCTACATTCGACGTAGCCACATCGCCAGTGCTTCCGAACGAGATTAACGATGTCCCTGTAGCGAGTTCCGGAAGCAGCCGCAGGCGACAATTCGTCTTGCTTGTTCCCGACTACCAATAACGGTACGCCCCTCATGTCCCGTGCTTCGTAGATTTGCTCTCGTAACGTCCTAATGTACTGTCGTGTTACAAATGAAATTATTTTAATATAGATATTGAGAGAGAAAGAGAGAGAGAGAGAGAGAGAGAAAGAAAAAGAGAAATAATGTATATTATCTATTTTAATATCATTTGATAATGTTAAAGCGATCATAATCTCTACATAGGCAATGTATAATCATCACTATATATCGTTGGATACTTGTTACGTAATGGTATAAACTCAATAGTGAAATACTACGAACAATTTATAAATTCATTAGTTAACACCATGTTAGTGAAATATTGTAAGGAGGTGTGAAAGTTAATGACACGCGAGAGTATGAGATAATGGAGGAAACGAGTGAGAGTGAATAAAAGTATGTAAGATACAGTGTACGTATAAATAGTTTTTAATGTTAAAATAAATAGGCAAAGTGTAATAATAAACAGAGATAAAATGAAAAGTACATAGGATATTAATGAATACGTGGAAACATCTTTGAAGAATCAATTTTAGATAATAAAACAAATATGAAACTCGGAGATGATGTGGAGAAGGTAGTTCAATAACATTAATACGCATGTCTTGATTTAAGTATTTATAATTCATATTTATGAACAAGCGTATTCAAAATATCGCGAGACTTGATTCGGAAAGACTAATGAAATAGAAACTATTTCTCGTACCGTGAAATTTTCATAATCGTATAAAATTGATTCATATATCTGTCCAGTGAGATTTCTCCCTTCTTTTCTATTTTTACATTGAAATATTTTTAAGATATTATTATTTTATAGATATTCTACTAGATTGTATCTGACTGAATCATTTTCAATCGTTAGAAAACATTTTTAAATTAAGAAGGATATAAAAATTACATGTTAGTAATTTTTATTTAAATTTTAAGTGTCATCAAAGTGTTTTTTTTTTTTTTTTTTATTAAAATATGAAGAGTCAAAGGTCATATCAGGGTGAAAAGAACAATATAGAATTTATCAAGAAACGTATAAGAATTTATTAACATATATAAAAATTTCTCAAATAACATCTTCTAGAAATTGTATTTCTAATGTGCTCAACAGAGAGAGCATAAATTGTCCGTTTTTATAATTGGAATTCTACAAATTCGATAGAATTTTTTCAAGCCTTTCGAATCGATAAATTTATTAAAATGCTAAGCGGCCGTTTTCAAGGAATAATTTTTCCTAAGAGAATATAAAGAGGGACGGATAGTCAGAACAAAAATAGTACAAAGAAAGTTTACATCGCTCCGTTAAACATAAAGAAAAGTCTGTAATGAAATGGGAGTGTCTGGCAGCAATTGGAGTGGAAAAATCTTTTTAAAAAGATTCTCAGAGTTTTAGAAAGTGATGTTTGCAGATAAAAAAAAAAAAAAAAAGAAAGAGAAAAGAACGAAATTGACAACTATGAGATAACTTTGTACAAAATGAATCGTTGACAATATAGCGAGCTTTTTAATCTTCCTTTCGAACTGATTTTACTTGTTCACAATAAATGGTCAGGATAAAATTTACAGATATTCATAGAACATAAATTACCAGTCAAATTATGAAGATAAATAAATGAGTTTCATATGAAGTTGATCAGGGGAGTGTCTTTTTGCAGCATTTTTATAGTGATAAGAAAATCACATTTCTTGAGTTGTCTTATTTTTATGGATAAGTAAATTGATATTAAAAATTTGAGAAAAAAATTTGAACTGATATGAAAAAAATTTGAAACTGGATATTAAAAATCACTCAAGTGCACGTATTCAAACTTTTATAGTCAAAAAGCTGTCGAGAAAAGAAGATTTAAAATGTACCGCCAATTCTCTTCTAATAAGCTCTCGTCTCGAATAAGGAAGATAATCTTGCATCCTACATGATAAGCATAAGCGAGGATATTATAACACAGTCTATACTCGTGCGGATACTCAAGGGCTTGTTTTTATTCGCCTGATTTTATACCCTTAGAATTTTTTCTAGGATGTAATTGAAGTAACTGATTCCAACGATATACTGATATTAATAACTAAATTATAAACTAGAAAATTAATTATTAATCATTTACGGAAATAATTAAAGAAACTCAGTTAACTTTAATTCTAACTCTTCATTAATTGAAGATAGTAATATAATTTTAAAATCATAGTGCAATTTCTCCATATCGACAAAAATACAAACATATCTAAATTAGATGTAGAAACTTGTTAGGTATTAAATTTCAAAGCACAAATCGTCACGTTTATAAAACATAGTGTAGATTATTAAAAAAAAAAAAAAAAAAAAAAAA